AGAAGAAGCCAGAAAAATCAAAGTGTAAAAAAATGAGTAAGAGTTTCAGGTCTCACAGTCCATTTTTCCTCTGTACTTCAGGCGCTGTGTTTTCGACCCAAGTGAATGCAGTGGTGGGTCAGTCGGTCACACTGCCCTGCACCTACACAGTATCTAGAGGAAGCCAGCCCATATGCTGGGGCCGAGGGCCCTGTCCTTCCTCTAAATGCTCCAATACACTTCTCAGTACCAATGGACAGCGCATCACCTACCAGAAGGACAGGCGGTATCAGCTCAATGGGAGGATTAGCCAAGGAGATGTGTCCTTGACCATCCAGAATGTAAACATGGGTGATGGGGGCCAGTACTGCTGCCGAGTGGAGCTTCCTGGATGGTTCAATGATGTCAAAAACACCATTTCACTCAAGGTTATGCCAGGTAAGCTTGTCTTCTTTCCTCTGATCACTACTCTCAGTTTACCGGCCACTTGGGTAATGTTTTCTTTCCTTTAATAGTGAAAGAGGAGGCGCCCATGATCCTGTTTGCCAGTGAGGTCTTCTTGGTCTTTAGAGGCAGGATGGCAGGTGTTTGTGCAGATGAAGTCCTGGGGAACCTTGATTCAGGGCCACAGGCTGAACTCAGCAAGTGTCTTTCATTCAGAACAGCTCCACAGAGTGTGTATTTAGGGCTGGGGAGATGGCTCAGTGGAATAAGCGCTTCCCTGGCAAGCGCAAGGACCTGAGTTCAATCCCCAGTTCCACCAAAAAAAAAAAAAAAAAAGACAGAACAACTCCACAGATGGGCTTATGGGTCCGTGACCCCGCATTCACTGTTCCACAGTGAAATGCTGATGACCAATGTCATCACGTGAATTTTGCTTAAATAATTGTACCTTTTTCTGAGTTCATGTCTTAGAAGGTTCAATAGATTGCACCTATTGTATACTTTATAGTGTATTGTTCTAGCACTTTCCCTGCCCTACCTTGAGCTCTTGATACATATCATAGAAAAAATTCTGTTTTAGAAATTAAAATGGTCTCATATGCAAGCTTTTTTATTGCAATAACTTCTCACTAAGTTGCACATAAGAAGTTCACTTAACCAAGCATTGGGAACAAAATTTTTTGCTTTGATGTAGGCATCCTAGCTTCTAGCAGCATTTGATGAAAAAAAAAAAATGGGTTCTTGAGGATTTCTCTGTGTCTGGTACTCTTTCCAAATGAATGTCCTTCTATCTAGATAGAAGTAAATAGTAAGTAAATAGTAGGACTGGGGCCTTAATAACTTGTCTTTCTGTCTCTTTTTTAAATTAAGAACATTGTTTCTCCATCTCTCAGCCTTTAGGCTTGCTCTGCCCTCTCTGAAAGGCAAGCAGACCAAGCCACCTGGGTTGGGGTAAACTGATGAAGTCCCGGGCCCACGGCCTATGCATTTCATTTAGCTGCCTCTGGGGAAACTGCGTGCAGGAGGCACGTGGGGAAGCTGAATGTGGGGTGGTACCCAGAGCTGCAGGGAGATGTGGGGAGGAGCTCGAGGAGAGGAAAGGAGAAGGGAGGGGAGGAGAGAGAGGAGGAAGATCAGGGAGGGGAAAGGAGGGGAAGGGAGGGAAGGATTGCGATCACAACTTTCTTGGCATGAATGAGTAATGAAAAATCTAATACAATATTATTGACATGAATGAGTAATGAAAAATCTAATACAAGGAAACTAGCAGGCTTTTAAAAAATCATGCTTATATTTAAAAACATTTTTGTTTATTTATTTTTGGTTAGCTGAGTTGCTAAAATACCCAGGCCAGGTTTGCAGCAGGCTGGTCCTGCCCCTGCCTTCTGGAGTGCTAGGATTATGGACCTGACATTTTTTAAATGTTTACCAAAGTGCTCTTTGGTCAGATGGACCCTGAGCTGAGGTGACTGCTTCATCTCCGCTGGCCTGGTGCTTTCTTTTAGTGGCAGTGTGGCTCTGAAATGCTGGGCTTGCACTGAACTCTCCAAGGGCGTCTCCTCACCAGGTCTGTCTGTCATTGTTCTGTTCCAGCTTTGCTTTTGAAATGTCACCATAAAATAACAATTCCGAGTAAAAAGATGTGAGAAAGTAGTTTATTCTGAGCTGAACTGAAAAATGTGTTATTTGTATGTGAGGAAGTACAGCTGCCGTAAGAATAAATGGAAGGGACTGGGGAGATGGCTCAGTGGAATAAGTGCTTCCTTGGCAAGCGCAAGGGCCTGAGTTCAATCCCTGGTTCCGGAATAAATGGAAGCCTTGCATGAAAGTAAATACCCGTTGAGCCTATATGGTTAGGGAAGTGAGTCAAACGCACACGCCTGAGCTCCCGTGGTGTCTCCATCATGACAGACCCCGTATACAAATCTAAGGCAGAGTACAAGGCAGGCAGCGGGGGAAACAGGGAGGGAAGGTCGCGGAGCCCAGCACGGCCAGTGCAGCCAGCAGTGAGCCCTGACTCAGCATAATTGTCTTGGATGTTTTATATCTTTTGGCCTGCAGTCTGGCTGTTAACGTGTGTTTGTGATGACTATCTTGATTAAAGATTTATTCAAAAATGAATCTTACAAAGCTAGAAGAAAAAATAATTTAAACTGAGAGTAGAGTGAAAAGCGCAAAAAAGAATTGAGATATATTATGTGTACCAATTCCCCCAAACAAAATCATTAGGTACTACAAATATGTGCCAATAAATGTTTGTTTGTTTTTTTTTAAAGAAGAAAGAAAAGTCTGTGAGATGTTGAGGTTTTCCATTTTTGTTTCTTTTTGTTTATGTATTTAGTTATTTATTTTATTGATAAATTTTAATTACACATAGTGACAAAATTAATCATAAGGAATTTGTGCCTGTATATGGTATATCTTTTCTTTTTCATTTCTTTTTATTTTATTTTTTCTGTATTTTAGGGAAGGGTCTACAGGTTGTGCAGGATTTCACTGCTAGATTGGGTGCATTGTGATTCTCCTGTTTACAGCATCCCAAGTGCTGGGATTACAGGTTCGCGCCACCATGCCCAGTCTCAATGTCTATCTCAGCCAGCCCTGGGGATCAAACCCCTAGTCCCTGCACCTCTTTTCTTTTTCCTTTCCTTTTTGCCTCTGAGATGCGGTCTCACTATGGAGTTCAGGCTGGCCTTGAGCTCACTTTGTAGCCCAGGCTGACCTTGAACTGGCAACAATTCTGCCCCAACCCAAGCGCTGGCATAACAGGTGTGCACCACCATGCCTGGCTACATGGTATTTTTCTGTGGCTGGCTCAGCCCACCTTGGGGCGTGGGGGGGGGTCAGGGTTCGCACATGCTGGGGATTGTGCAGTTGTGCCCTGAGTTATCTCTCTGGCTGTACATGATATATCTTTTTTAAATTATTTAGTACAGGGCCTATAGGGTCTCACTACACAGAGTGGACTCATAGTGATCCTCCTGCTGTCAGCCTCCAAAGCACTGGGATTACAGGCGGGTGCCACCACGCCCAGTCTTAATTTCTGTCTCAACATGCCCCAGGGGCAGCCCAGCCCAGCATACCAGGGATCAAAACCCAGTCCCTGTGTCTACCTAAGCAGACACTTTAATCTGCTGAGCTATTCGACTGGCCTCAGCCTGGGGTAATTTAGCAAGACCTTGTCACAATAAAAGAGGGGCTGTGGACATGGACACAGCTCAGTAGTAGAGTGCTTGCCTAGCGTGCTGGAGGTGCTGGATTTTATCCCTCCTACCAAACAAAAGTGGTGTGTGATACTTTGACCTATGACTGTACACCTACCCCATCCTAGGCAGCCAGGGTCAGTGTACAGGCTCCTCTGCACAGCTGTGGCCTCTGGAGATTGTTCCCACAGGGTTGGTCCATTCTGTTCTTAACTCAGCTTCATGCCAAGCCCTCTGCTGAGCCCTAGTTCTAGTCTCAGCTCTGTGCCCAGTTCCCAGAACTTCAGTGGGTGCTGTGGCTTCTGACGCTGTAAATTATATAGATCATACACCTCTAATCTCCAAATCTAAACTCCACCAATCTCCAAAATCTGAATTTTTCAGAAGTGACATGAGAGCATGAGTGGATAACTTCACACTATGAACATTGTTTCATGCAGAAAATTATGAAAAGTACAGCATTTTATGAACTTACCTTTATATACGTGAAGTATGTATGAAACACCAGTGATTTCATATTTGAGCTTGACTCCCCCTGCCTAGGTAGTTCATGTATGTGCACACGTGTTAAGCATTTTGGAGGAGGGATACTGAAGGTGTAAATGTTAGATGGGAACAAATCTTACAAGGTCTTGCCTTACCTCTAAACAAATATTTCCTGCGTGTGAGGGAGCATTGGCTAGTGGGCAGGACTGAGCCTGTAGCTCACCTACTGGTCTCTGGAGTGCTTTCTGTAGGCCCGACAGAGAGAACACTATCTGGCCAACAAGCTGGTTTCAAAAACTGCTGAAGTCAGTCCCTTGCCAGGGAGAGGAGAAAGCAATCACAGACTCTAACACCATCCCTTTGAAATGGTCTTCAGAAAGAGAGTTCAGCGCTAAGGAGATCCGTGATTTCGCCTCGCATGTGTGTAATTTCAGGGTCGCTGCCCCTGTGCACCCCCAGCCTGTCTCCAAAGCCCTCCCCTCTCAGAGCTGCCACTACTGGCCATTGTCAAAGGCCAGATTTAGGGGAGATAGCCCTGCCTGGAGACAGTCTGTCATCGCTGTGCTCAGCTGCAGTTCAGGCAGGAGGCTCTTGTTGCTTGTTGCTCCACTAATTCTTGCTTTCATGTGGGTGTGTCACTCTAGCCATGACCACAAGGGCTCCAACAGCACCTCGTGTCTCTGCTGCACCCCCAACAACACCAGTGCACACACAGACAAACACAACAGGTAAAGTGTGAATTACAGCCCGGATGGGAGGTTGTAGATTATACAGTGCGCTGGGTGACTTCAACCACTCCCTGTCTGACTGGTCTCCTAAAAAAGACTTCAACACAAGGATAAAATATGGTTTTTATTTCTTAAATACTTGTCAGTGGAGCTGCTTCACTCACTCCAGCATGTCTGCAAAGCCCTCTCCTCTCAGCCGCCACTGGCCATTAGCAAAGACCAAGTCTTTGCTAAGTCTAGGAGAGACTTAGCTGTCCAAAGACCAAGTCTAGGAGAGAAAGCCCTGCCTAGAGTCTGTCATTGCTATGCTCAGCTGAAGTTGCTGAAAACTAGTTAGCTTTTGTTTCTTTCTAATTCTTGCTTTCATGTTGGTGTCTCCCTCCAGCCGCCACCACAAGGGTGCCAACCACACCCCGTGTCTCTACTGTTCCTCCAGCCACAAGGGTGCCAACAACACCTCGTGTCTCTGCTGCTCCTCCAACACCAGTGCACACACAGACGCGTACAACAGGTGAAGTGTGAATCGCAGCTCCAATGGGAGGATAAGGAGCAGCAAGAGCATTGGGTGACTCTAAACAGCTTCCTCTGCCTGGACTCCAGAAAGGCCTTCTGTGCAAACGTGCTGTGTGTTTGCAGCCCCTGGCATGCACTTTTCAGTGCAGGTTCTCTGCTCACTCCACAGTATTTCTCCAAAACAGTTCCCTCTTAGTTAGAGCATGTAGCTGGTCATTGGCAAAGGACAAGCCTAGGAGGTACCCATGCATAGAGACAGTGTCATCGCTGTGCTGAACTGCAGCGGGAAGCTCTTGTTTCTTGATTCATTAATTTTTGCCTTCATGTCAATGTCTAGCTTTGACCACCAGCACAAGAGTTGCAACAACACCTCCTGTCTCTACTGCCCGTCCAGCACCAGCACACACAGAAAACCACGAAACAGGTAAAATGAGAACTGCAGCCCTGATAGGAGGCTGTAGAGCATGCAGGGCATTGTGTGACTCTAAACAGCCTCCTTCCATGTTGTCTAAAAGGACCTTCAATGCACATATGAGATAGGGGTTTTTGTCTGGTTAATCCTTTATTATGAATGTAGCTGCTCAAGTGTACCCCTAGCATGTCCCAAAGCCCTGCCCTGTCTAGGTGGACATTGGTGAAGACCAAGTTCAGGAGAGATAACCCTGCCTGGAGACAGTCCATCGTCACCGTGCTCAGCTGCAGGTCCATAGGAAGCTCTTGCTTCCTGTTGCTCCACTAATCTCTGCTTCCATCTTGATTTCTAACTCCAGGCAGACCCACCTGGGCTCCAACCTCAGCCCATGTCTCCACATCTGCTCCTCCAGCACCCCTGCAGACACAGAGCAGCACAACAGGTACAGTGTGATTGGAGCCCAGAGGCCTTCCCAAGGGAGGCTGTGGACCATGTAGAGTCTACCCTGTGTCGAGAAGAAGCAATATCAGGGGTGAGGATTCTGACTTGGGCTCAGCACATGGGCTCCACCAGGGCTGTGTCTGCCCCCCTTCTGAAATGATGCATATCTTGCCCAAGTGTAAGCGTTTGATGAGTGAGGGCAGCCATTGTGTTTTACCAGATTTGCAAAGGGATTTCTTATTAGCAGTGAGAGTTGAACCACTGATGTAGGACACCTGTGTGGGTCTCCCCTACCTGGGCCTGGCTCCATGAGAAAGTAGGAGATGCCAGGGAGCAAGGGCCAGGCTGGTGAACTTGTGGGAGCTCCAGGCCGTGCTAACATTAGACCCTACAAATAAGGATCACATTTCAGTGAAACTAAAACTTACTTTCTGTAGTAGGCACCATGCGGCATGCTTTGCAGTATTATTTCAATCTCAGGATAACACTGCCACGGTAAGGGTTGATTCAAATGGACTTGAGCATGATGGGAAATGAGACAGAGTCTACAGCTTCATTGCTGAACATTGCAAAGATAGAAAATAGTTGAATTACGTTTCAATTTCTGCTCACTAAAATGTGGGTCTGTTGATTGTAGCTAGCAGATCCTGCCTCCTATTGCAAACTCTGTGCTTAAGTGTGAATGAATTTGTTCTGTTTTGACATCCTCACTAACAAATAATTTATAAAATTAACCAGTCTTTTTGGAAGCAGTCACTACCTTACAGTTTTGCTTCAGTGACTGTTTACCTTAAATTATGTGGCATAGAAATTGCACAAATACTGCTTATACTCATGAAAAAAGTAAATATGGAATTTAAAGGCTGGAAGTTTAAAAAGTGCATGTTCCTGTTGTCCATATCATGTTTCACACCTCAAGTTCCAAACAGAAAATGGTGTAGACATAAACCAAATAGAGAATGACTTAGAGGTAAAGATGTAGCTTGTCACCCTGAGGACAAGTAGTTTCCAATCTTCTATTGCCATGATTAAAAAGGTAACTTGTGGGGCCAGGGAGATGGCTCAGTAGGATAAACGCTTGACTGGCAAACGCAAGGATCTGAGTTCAATCCCTGATTCTGAAAAAAAAAAAAAAAAACTTGACTCAGAGATGCTCAAAGCCCCCTGAAAGTCTTTGATCCTTTGAAGTAGTTCTGGATTTTGAGCAGCAACAGAAATGTCACAGGCTCATAGCTGGAGGGACCTGGGCTAGGAGCTGAGTTTGGAAGATGGGGCTTTAGGTTGGGACTGAGAAAAACAGCTTCAGGCTTGCAAGCAGCGAAATACACTGGAGAATCTGTGAAACTTTCTCGGTATTGACTTGACTTTCTAACACTTGCTTGTGCTTGCTAAATTAGACAGCTGTGTGGGCTTAGTTTGGAGAACATGACTTAAGTTTTTGACTTCATTGAAAACTGAGATGTAGACAAAGGTGCCGGCTTATGTGTCCCTGTGACTTTAATGATACTGTGAGTTGAAGGTTTTTTTTTTTTTTTTTTTGTAGTTTTTTGAGATTGGATCTTAGATACAGCTCAGGCTGGCCCTTACTATATGGCCTACGCTGATCTTGAATTTATAACAATCCTCCTGCCTCGGCCTCCTGAATGATGGGATTACAGAGGTGCACTATCACACCTGTCTCGTGTTTTTCCGGATAGATTTCTGAAGAGCACAAGTTTAGAATGGAACCTTAGAGGGCAGGGAGGCAGCAAGCACCCCAGGCAGGGTCCTGCAGGCACACTTATCTCTCCATCCACCTCTGCTTAGGCTCGTGCTCGCTGCCTAAGGAGTCATGGAGTGCCCGCTTTGCCACTACACACAAGAATAGTCCTGGAACCCCCATATGTGTAGTTGTCAAAGAGAGAAAGATGCCACTGTGGAAGAAGCTAAGTCGAGAAGGCTTCGGCGCAGCGCTACTTTGGGTAAAGCCTGCACGTCTGACTCTCTCGTGTCGTCTTGGTTCCTAAAGACAGCCACATCCGCTTACAGCTTTGAATGTAGAGAGGCAGGGAAGCGGCTCAGAGCAGGAGAAAGGGCGCTGCTGAAGTGTGAAGGGGTCTAGACTGTGGTGGGGACAGGGGAAAAGACTGGCAAGGGGCACAGGGGAGAGGTGGCTTTTGGGATTCTTCTCTGGACTCCGCCATGAACTTGTCCCACAGCTCTGTGGTGTTCTAGGAGACAGAAACCATGTGAAGGGCCATAAACACATGACCAGCTCTGCAGACAGGGCCAGCTATGGGATCTGAATAAAGCTAGCACACAAAGGAATAGTAAGCAACACAGCTCCATATTCAAGAATTCTCAGTGGAATCTTCTTGGCGAGCATGATGACTCAGGAAATTACTCTTAGACAAAGAGTGCTGAGCGTGCAGACGCAGAAGGAGCTGGGAGCAGAGTCTACCAGGAACATCCTTGGAGGCCTGCCAGGCAGTGCCTAGGCTGAGATGTTGAGCAATATTGTCACCTTGAAGAGTCATCGAGGTGGAAAATAGGGAATGTGTTCTGAGTTGGTCACTCTGCCTGTCTCCCTGACGAGAGGTGGACAACCTAGAACTTGAACTTGAATATACCTAGGCAATCCAGATGGAGACTGTTATGAGTGGGCTAAGACAGGTGAGTGGACCCTCCCGACTCTCTTCATTGAAACAAAATGGCATTTGTATTAATAGAATAAATTGTATTTGGGGGTTCCAAAGGAGCTGCACTGCTGTAGGCATTGTCCACTTAGAGAGTCTTGGGATCTAGAGTGTAGAAAATAGGAAGTAATTTTATATACTGATAAAACTCTCTACAAACTAGGTTCAGTGTCTGGAAGCCATTTTAATATGGAGGCCAAATGTCAACAGATTTCTAAGAATTAATTATAAAGGCTAGAAGTAGGTTGGTACCATCCTTCTTGAGAAGGCTGGAGTAAAGTTACTATGGGATGTTGATGGTAATTTATAATTTAGTAATCATTTATTTGTTGTTTTTTAAAAGACAAGATCTTTCTGTGTAGATCTAGTCTGACTGCTATAGGTGATAGAAACTGTAACCTGCTAGATACCTAGGATGAGTTTGTGTTCTTTAAAACTGAATGAATTTTAGGAACAACGAAGGTCAAGAGCAGAATATGTTTATTGAGGGAAAGAAAGCTTCTGTGCTAGAAAGGATAGAATGGGACCCGACTGGGTTGCCCAAGAAGCTGCCTTTTCTAGGGATTTTTATAGAGCAAATCCATGACATGAGGCAGGTCCAAGGTGGGAAACTTGGGAAATCACTAGTGGGCATGATGTAGTATAGAACTGTGGTCAGCCAATAAGACTACCACTATAATTGCTCAGGTAAAATGGGTTAAACTGAAATCAAATGGGGAACTGAGTCACTTAGCAAGCAGGCAGGAATACAGAACAAGGGCTTTTCCTGTAGGGGGTTGGGTTAGTGACTCTTCCCAGCCTTTTGATTGATCCACATGTAATTGGGCTATTAGTCTCTGATGTCCATCCCTAGGGAGGTGTGTGGACGTATTTGTTTGATCTTTTATTTTGAGGTCTGGCCCGCAGCGGAAATGTCTGTCTCTCCCACAGTTGCGAGGTATCTTGTCTTCCATATTGGCTCCTTCGAGGGCCCAGGCTCCTCTGACTTCCTGTAAGATTTCTATGTAACTCAGCTGCCTACAATATGAGCACTAATCCAACCCACTATGTAGTCCAGGCTGGGCTTAACCTGCTGTAATGCACCTCTCAGCCTCCCCAGTGCTGGGATTGCAAGCCGGCACCACTGTTCCTGGCCTCTCATTTGTTTTTGTAGAGGATGAATTTTTTTTTTCTATAAATGCAACATAGCTCTTCTATTATTCTATTCCAGATACTACTCCACCTGTTCCAACCCAAGCAGTAGAAACCCAGCCTACAGCACCACAGGAAGCAAGGACTCAGCCCACCACCTCCTCCCCAGAATCTTTCTCAGAAGGTAACTGCTCGCTCTCTCTCTCTCTCTCTCTCTCTCTCTCTCTCTCTCTCTCTCTGCCTGCCTGCCTG